TGATCCTGACATCATTTAACAAATCCACTGTTATCATTTTTCAAGGTCCTACTGTAAGCACAGTTAAGCAATAACGGTTGTAAACCTATTTGGTCTTAGCGACCATTACATGTACATTTTCTTGTTTGATCTGAGGCAGGTCAGCTCTGCAGTTCTATCTAAAAAGACACGAAAGGGGGGACAAACAATCTGGAAGAAGCCCTGATAATCCATTCAGTAGAGGTAAGCAGTGGGACACTTATAAATACACACAACTAATGAAAATGCTGATTCAAATTCAGTAAAATTACCGAAATGGGAGGCTGTGAATTCTTGGTATCAGAGACTTGACCTTAGCTAGGAACTTCAAACCATACCAGACCTGGTGATCTAAACTTCTTTTTAATTATTTTTGAAATCTGCTTTATTAAAATGCAAGTAGGTCTGTAAAGAAAACCAATATTTCATTTGGCTTAATTGGTGTAGAATGAGTTATATTATTGAATCTCAGATTAAAGAAGTTTAAAATAGCCTCATTTAGTTGCTGATTCTTCCCTGTATTTCTGTTTTAAACCCTGTACTGTTTCCTCTGGTTTGTTTTCCTCCTTGGAAGTGGCCCAGGAGTTTAGGTCCCCTGGGCCTGGACACCCCGTGGAAGCAGACTTGCAGGGATCCAGCACCGTCCACATACTGTCACAGTTGCTGCGACTCCGGCAGTGTTGCTGTCATCTTTCTCTGCTGAAGTCGGTAAGAAGAGCCCTAGCATGGTACCCCAGAGGGCCTGCAGGAGAAGTCCATTGCAGTCTCCTGTGACTGCAGGATCCAGTTGGCCGGATCAAGGAAAATGGGGTTTTGGGGTGTTTTTGTTTTTTGGTGGGGCAGAAAAGAGGAGGCTTGTTTATTTTACTTTATTTTATATCAATCTTTATTGCTCTTGATAATTCCCATGGTATTGAGAACAGCTTTTATTGTTTGTTTTGGTTTGGTTTAAATAAGCTTTATTTTAGAACGTAAAGTGGCGTTTTGTTAAAAAGGAAACCTTTTTTTTTTTTTTTTCCTGCTGAGGAGGACTCCCTCTGAGCTTACATGTGTTGCCAATCTTCCTCTGTTTTGTATGTGGGTCGCCACTACAGCATGGCCACTGCCAAGTGGTGTAGGTTTGCTCCTGGGAACTGAACCTGGGCTGCCGAAGTGGAGCGCACCGAACTTGAGTGCTAGGCCATGAGGCCAGCCCCTAAAAGGAAACCATTTATGAATACTTAGATATTTCAGGATGTAATAAAGCTAATTTAGTTATTAGTTTTTTCTGCCTTTAGGCAGTATTGGGGTTTTTAAGTCTAGTTATGAAAACTCAAGTATTTATACAGTTGGAAAAGTTGCCTTTACATTGGACAGAGGCAAATCCATAATTAAGAGGAGTATGTTATTCTTTGGAGGAACTATAGTACTGTATTTTGATTATCAATAGCTTAATTAACTACACTGTTCCAGCTGGAGAAAATAGAATGATCATGTAATCTGTCTGGCAAGTCTCTAAAAAGTTCCATCATTTCATTTATCTTTAATTGCCGAAAAACCTTGTGAGATTACATTTTAATCAGAATTTCTCTGAGGAGACACTGATGATAAATGACAGGACATTTGCTCTGTGAAGTGTTAAACAGGCAGCTCTTCATTGGCAAGTACTATGGCTTGCTGCCTCCACTGCCCCCTGCTCCTGTCCCCTCCGGTATTCTGCGCAGGCCCTGGATCCGGCGGAACTGAAGAGTGAAGGCCTGGTCGTCTCCCTGGAGGAGCAGCTCAGTGCTTTGACCCTGTCTGAACTCCGTGACTCAGAGCCGTCTTCCACTGTTTCCCTTAATGGTGAATGCTTCCAGGTGGAGCTCTTTGAAGACACGCGCGAGAGCACCAAGGTACTTTTGTCCCATCTATTCTAGTAGAAAGACTTGGATTCCTCGCCTGTTTTCCTGTGTGAGAGCGCCACGTTTCTCCGACTGGTACAGCCATTTGGTGGCAGAGCTAGAACTATTAGATTTTAGCTGGTCAGATTCTCCTTCCAATCATAAATTCTGATTTTATTTCACAAATAAAACTAGAGTCTTATTACATAGTAGTGGGCTTTCAGAGAGGGATTTGGGCTGGCCCCTGCATCAAGGCAGATTTTCTGTTGTGGATGACTAGGAAAGGAGCCTATCAGGTTTACACTAGCAACAGGGCCTAAGTGAGTAAGCAGTTTGCTTCAGGAAAGCTTTAAAGGAAAATAGTGAAGGCTGACCCTGGAGACTGTGTAGTGCATCTGAGTGCCAGTGCTTTGATTTGTCGAAAGGCTTCTATCAGTGAGTATTGTTTCCTACACAGCCTCTATCTTCATTAGTCATTCTGTTCTATTTTCATTAAAGCTTTTTAAGGCTGAAGAGTTCTATTAGAGGAAGGCACAGTTACGCTGTAACTTGAGTCCTGCCTTTCTGTTGGCTGGCTTGGAATGTGCTCCGTTAGCTTGCACACCCTGAAAGTGGGGCTTGTTTCCCTCTCTGCTGCTGTCTTAAGCTGCCCTTCCTAGCCTCAACCTCTCTTCAAAGGCTTTTTAAAAAAAATGTAACTAGAAAGGAGGTCACTGCCAGGGGAATGATGTTACTTAGGAATTACTTTTAATTAAAATTTTAAAATATTTACCTAGGTTTTTACCACTAATAACTGAGAGAAGAGCACCATATGCGGCCAAACTTCATGTCTTAGCACCTTTGGAGTTAGCTAGTGGGTTAAAACTTATATTCCTAATAATTTATGTTCCTTTCCTAATACTCAGGTAATATTTATGCACAAGGCTTCTTGATGTAAGCCCATTAGTAGGAGTTCAGACCATTTAAGGTTGTTTCACGTAGGGAAGGAAATTTTCTTTGGTAGCACAAACCTAAACTCAGGCACAGTGTTACTGGAATTTGACCCCAGCTCATGGACCATGAATCCTGCTCTCCCACTGCAGTTTTCTCAAAATACCTATCACCAGCTTTTTCATGTGACAATCAGAGCACTTTCCATAACCTCAAGTTGCCAAGACACCAGGCACTTCACATACCTGCTTATTTTCTTCCTACTAATTCAAAATGGTACAGTCCTGTGACTTCCTGCCCAGACATCAGCATGTTTGTTTAGATTGGAAAGCAGCCTCACTTGTGGGGGCCTCTCCAGGTTACCACTGTAACAACAGTGTAGAATGGAAGAGCTGAGGGCACCTCAGAGTTCATCTGGCTCAGCCCTTTTTTTTTTTTTTTTTTACTGATGAGGAATCTGAGCTCTTAATTGGGAGTTCCAAAGTGGTACAGCCATGTGATGGCAGAGTAAGAACTTTCTTCATCTCCTAATTCATGGTCCAATTTTCTTTCTCCTCCACCATTCTGGGGATGAACTCTGGGGCCCTTGGAGGCTTTTAGAAGGTCATACACATTAGCGGTCTGGAAGAATGAACCCAGCTGCTCTCCAAAGTCATGGCTGTGTGTTCTTACTGACTGCTCCCATGTGGACTTGAATGTGCCCTGAGGGGTTTTGATAAATACCCAGAGAGCTTGTTTGGAAGCTGTAGCAAGTGTTCCTCAGTCTGGACAGGTCCTCTTCTTCAACAACAGTTAGAGCAGGCATTAAACTGGGTAAAACTCTTTCACTTTCTCCTTCCGCAGATGTTAGGATAGTACCTTCTCTGGTCCAGCAATGTGCTAGGTGCTAGGGGTACAGAAATGAACCAGAAATATGCTGGCTCGGCCTCCTTGGAGCATCTCAAGTCATGAGAACAAGAGATGATTAATAAGCAATTAATATATAGTATGAAAAAGACCATAGTAATAGAAATAAAAGGTACTAGAGTAGCACATAGGCACTGGGCACCTGACCCATACTTTGGAGGTTGGGGAGGACCTCCAAGAAGAAGTGACATTAAGCTGACACGTTAGGGTGTTCTAGGCAGAGGGAACAGAATGGACAAAGATGAGACAAAGCATGGCTTAGTGGAGGAAGAATTTTGGTATGACTGGAGTGTCGTTTGAGGAGGGCATAGTGAGAGATGAGGCTGGAAACGTAAGTAGAGGCCAGAGCAGCAAGGATCTGGTGGGTTGTTGTAAGGAGCCTGAGCGTTATCCTAGTGGGAAGCCACTGCAGGGGCTTCAGCCAGGGGAGGTGAGTGACAAACTGATATTTTAGAAATAGGCCTCAGGCTGCAGAGAGGAGAGTGGATTAGAGAGAAGTAAGACCAGAAGCAGAGAGGCCATCCGGGTGACCGCTTCAGTGATTCAGGGGAGAGAAAATGGAGAAAAGTGAATTTGCTTAAACCTACGTATGTTAATGTAACCTTTTCCCAGATTTCGTCTCTATTGGCAGAATTGGAGGTAATCCGAAGAAATTCAGGGTCCCAAAAGAGGTAAGTGTGTTATTTCATTATCCAGATATTGCTTGTAATTAAGAAAATTTGTTATTGCCAATAGTTAGTCTTAGCTTTTTATTTCAAGGACCTTGTCATGCTCAGAAGAACGTACTGAGGTTATAGTACAAATTCCCTATGATTTCTAATGAAAATATTTGTGGCACTGATTGAAAAGGAAATCCCTGGAGGATCAGAGTAAGCTAAGCATCTGAAGAAATGTTTCAAAGTCAAGAAGCATCTAAAGAAGAGCGAGAGAGTAAGAGATGCAAGAGGGAGAGAGGAGAGTGACCAGACAGGGAGCCCCTGCAGGCTGGGAATGTTCTTGAGCTGGGTACGTGGGGACAGGGAGGCCCATCTGTTATTTGTTACACGTTACATGTGTGTTATCACCTGCATTTGTATATTTGAAATATTTTGATCTAAAAACTTAAAACTCTAATTAAAACATAGCATGGGGGGAATAGAGAAGCCCTAGCAGCTTGTCATTCTGATTGGCAAAGGGAGGGTGGCCTGTATGCCTTTTCTGCAGGACCACAGATCTCTGGATGAGCGCCAGGCCCCTAAATGATAGGAGGCCGCAGTCGTTACATTAGTTTAGCCACCACTCTATTCTGACCACGTTTAGCACAAGTTGTAGACTGAATCTAGAAATAACTGGAAGCATTATAATGTTGTAACGTGACCTCAGTGTGTGCCTTTTCCCCTTACATAGCAGGAGGCCTTTCCTCATCCACATTTGATAATTGAATCTTGAGAATAACAGGGGTGTTAAAGCTCTGCAGATGAGTTTGTTTAATCTATCTGAAGGGGTGGTTTTTTCTTCATCCTTCCTTCCAGCGTCATTGTCTCTCAGTGGACCAGCATGCTGAAAGTTGTAGCGTTGCACCTTAAGAAGCATGGACTGACTTATGCCACCATTGATGGCTCTGTCAACCCCAAACAGAGAATGGACTTGGTAGAGGCATTTAACAGCTCCAGGGGCCCTCAGGTACAAGCTGGTCACAGAGCTATGTAATTAAGAGCAAATTGTTCTCAGTTATACAGAGAAAATTCTAACATAGCACCTCAGTTTAAAAATATTCATAGCCTTGATCCCTCCAGGTGCTTTTAATTTATTAGACATTTATTGGGGTACATAGCAAAGTGTGCAAATACTCTAAAGAGAATAAAATATGAGAGCTAACAGGAGAGTAAGAGCAGAACTGGTCAGGATCACGAGAATCTTGGTGGAGGAGGCAAGCCTGGAAGGATAGGTGGGATTTTGCTATGAGGAAGTATGGAGGGAAGTGGAAGAACAAGCCATCTGATTACAGATGGTAAGAATTTGGAGAGCATTAGTTGAATGACAGGCAGGAGAATCATAGCCATGGTGGGGGGACTGATGACATAGACAGAATCTGGTTAATGGAAAGTTTATTGAGCCGACCACCCCCAGTGCTCTAAATTGTAGTATTCGTGTATTTTGGCAGGCACACAATTAATGTTTTGAGATTGACTCACAAAAAAAAGTGAAGTGAGAATTTTCTCAAAGGTGAGGCATGGGAGATAGTATCTCAGAGTTTTAAAACAATGCATTTAGGATGGCAGAAAGAAATTTGATAGGAGCATATTGCTTATTTGTACTGATATTGGGCTTGAACCTGAGACAGAGGAGAGATGTATTATGAGACCAAATCCGTATAAAGTTAATTTGTGTGCTTCCTTTTGAAGGTTATGCTAATCTCTCTCTTGGCTGGAGGTGTTGGTCTAAACCTAAGTGGAGGAAACCATCTTTTTCTTCTGGATATGCACTGGTAACGATTCTGGATTTTTCTTGAGTTGTCCCAGCATAGCAGGGAGACCAGTGGGCTAGAGGAACAGTAGGGCCTGACTTCTTATGACAAATGTGGTCTTGTTGTATCATGGAGATGCCTCTGTGCATACATGTGTATAAATACAGATCAAAACAGGGTGTAGGGCTAGTTGAGGGCTCTGAATTCCTGAGCAAGCAGGGCTTCAAGTGACTACTTAAAATAGTCCATTCACTTCATTGTTAATCGCACATCTGTTGCTATGGAAACTGGGAGCAGGGTCTTTTCCTCAAGGCTAAAAGCTACATTGCTCAGTTTTACCTCTTCAGAATACCATATTTCAGACATATTTGTTTACATCCAAGGAAATCTCAACCCCGGAGAAGAGGGAGAAATGTTACTCCAAGAGGAAAAGGGAAGGGAATTTTCTAATTGTGTTAGACATACACTGAACACAGAGCCCTGGGCCTCGCTACATGTAGCCTCAACACCAGGAGCATAGCAGACTTTTTCCTGGACACGAGATGGATGAGTTAGTAGGTTGCCAGGAGAAAGCGTCATAATTAGTCCCAGTTTTTCGTTTTCCAGTTGTGCCAGTCAGGGTTGCTGCACCGGGCAGTGTTGCTGGCGATTGTCATTTGTCTGATTCTCCAGGCAGCCCAGATGGGCACAAACAGGCCCACCTGTTATTATCTTCGGGGAGAATGTGTTTAGGTCTTACTCGGGACTCCCCTATACATGTGAGTGAGGAAAGCAGACTGGGAATTATGCTGTTTTCTGAAATGGAGAAACGTTATTCAGGATTTTAAAGAGGTAAGATGAGAAACTAATTTGGAGTTGATAATGAGAATCTATAAAGAAGGAAACCAATTAAATCTTCTTAGTTGTGTCGGGGGAAGAGAGAGAATCTCCCTCTGCCCTTTTCCTTAAGGTTCTTATGGCTGGCCAAATAATTAACAAGACAGGTTAGCAGGAGAAAATAATACCAAGTTTAATAACATGTATACATGGGAGAAAGCAGGGACGCTGCGTTTCTCAACACAATAGCAGAAATTCTCATCTTAAATACCATGTTCAGCCAATGACAAAGGAGGATTTTGGGGGTGGGGGAGTCAGTTCCAGGAGATTACCACTAAAGCACAGTAAACAAGGGTAAGGTTATTATGCAGCTTTAAGGCCTCAACTTCCACGTTGATAAGCCTCTAGAAATGAGGCCATCCCCCTCTCTTCTCAAAACAGAGAGGGAGATACCTTTACAAATGGAGATTTCCCTTATAAATGTAAATGATTGTCTGGCAACTCCTCGCAGGGTCATCCAGAGAATGTGGCCAGAGAGACAGAACTTCTGATAAGAGAGGCTTGTTGGTGCCTTTTCTATTGTAACCTCTATCCTACATTATCTTTATAGCCATCATGATAGATCTGTTCCAGGAAGGAGCCACCATGTCAAATTCTTTAGGCAGTTAGTGGAGGAGGTCAAATGTCCCTAGAGAAAACAACCAAGGTAAAGAGATAGATTTCAGGGTGGCCAAATCTTGATCTCCCACAGTTGAATCCTAGAGTATTAAAGGTGAAAAAGGTATTCGAGATCATTAGCCAATCCACATATTTCCAGGTAGCAATCTGAAGCCTAGAGGGTTAAGGTTACATGACTTACCCAAGGTTATCCAGCTGGTTAGTAACCGGATTTGAGCATTGGTTTCACCTCTGTTACTTACAGTCGTCAACTGATGATAGTGCTAAGAGAGACTATTAGCAATCTGACCCCAGTTCCTCATTAGAGAGCAGGAAGATATCTGGGACTTTGAGTCCCATGTAGCCCTTCTTTTTTTTTTTAAATATTTATTTATTTAGTGTGTGTGTGTGAGGAAGAGCAGCCCTGAACTAACATCCATGCCAGTCCTCCTCATTTTGCCGAGGAAGAGTGGCCCTGGGCTAACATCCGTGCCCATCTTCCTCCCCTTCATATGGGACGCCGCCACAGCATGGCCTGACAAGTGGTGCGTCGGTGCATGCCTGGGATCCGAACCCCGGTCACCAGCAGCAGAGCGCGTGCACTTAACCACTATGCCACGGGGCCGGTCCCCCACGTAGCCCTTCTGAGACCAATATAGCCTAAGACAGAGATCTACAAACTTTCTCTTTAAATATTTTAGGCCAGATAGTAAATATTTTAGGCTTTGCAGGCTACATAGGTCTCTGTTGCATATTCTTTGTTGTGAGTTTTTGCTTTTTTACAAACCTTTAAAAATGTCACAACCATTTTTAGCTTAAGAGCCGTACAAAAACAGGCTGCAGGCTGGATTTGCCCACCCTGGTCTAGGATGTCAGTACCTTTGAGCTTTACATGTCTTCTAACAGGAATCCATCACTTGAAGATCAAGCTTGTGACCGAATTTACCGAGTCGGGCAGCAGAAAGATGTTGTTATACACAAGTAAGTAAAGGTCTCCCAGGACCAAGTTCTGCTTTTGTGAAAGGCAGTGTTTTAATAGAATGTAAAATATTTGGTGATCACTATATTAGTGATGCTCCTGGGGCACATCCTCTTTGGTACTCACTGTCAGGACGGGAACACAAGCAATTTGGGGGTAACCTTGGAATTGGTCCCTGCAAAAGAAGAAAAGCTTGTGTATAATGGTGAGCTTTGTCTCAGTCAAGGCAGCCCATGAAAGGACCCTCCTTTCTCCCTCTTTTTATTTTTTGCTTTTAACTTTTGTTTTGACATAATTTCAGATATATAGAAAATAATGTAAGAATTCTTGGAAGACTAATACTCAAAAGTTCGTGGTTGCCAGAATAATACCAAAAAATTCCCATATCCTCTGTGTGTGTGTGTGTGTGTGTGTGTGTAAACTTGTTTCTGGACCATATGAGAGTAAGTTGTAGACGTGATGCACGTTTACCCCTAACTACTAAAATATGCATTTCCTAAAAATGATATTCTCTTACATAACCACAATAAAATTATCAAAATCAGGATGTCAACATAGATACAATACTATTACCTAATCTATGGACCTTGTTCAATTTTGCCACTTGTCCCAATGATGTCCTTCACAGCAAAAGAAAATCCTAGATCCTGAGTAGCTTTCAGTTGTTGTGACTCTTTTGTCTCCTTTAATCTGGAGCAATACCTCAGTCTATCCTTGTGTTTTATGACATTGACGTTTTTGAAGAGCACAAGCCAGTTATTTTGTAGAATGTCCCTTTATTCGGGACCCCCCTCTCTTTAAAAACAACAAAACCTGCCTTAATGCTATACTCCACTAGCCATGGGCCTCTTTTTCTCCTTCCTTTTCAGGGCCAAGTTTCCTGAAGAATTAGAAGTCACTGTCTGTCTTTACTTGCTTACCTCTCACTCATTCCTCAACCTTTGCAAACTGGCTTTCACCCCTATGGTTCCACTGAAACTGCTCTTGTTAAGGGGCACCAATGAATTCCAAAATTTGTCAGATACAGTGATTATGTTAGTTTTCCTGTCTTGAGCTCTTTTCTCAGCTCACTCTGTATGTATCTCCCTTGATAATCCTGTCTACTCCAGTAAGTCCAAAATCTATATCTTCAGTTCCAAGGTCTCCTAGACTTCAGACCTAGATATCCAGATCCCTGCTAAATATCTGAATCTGAGTGTCCACATACTCACCCATTATTTATTCCCTCATGCATTCATCTCATTCAACTCAAAACTAACACCTATTGAGGACTCACTATGCAGCAATTACTATTACATGTTCCAGGGACTCAGAATGTCACAAACTGAAATTGTTTCTTCCTACCACTTCATATCTATTTATTCTTTTGTATTCCTTGTCTTTGTGAATAGTATCACTGTTTATCTAATCATAGAGCCAGAAACTAGTTTCTGCCTTCTTTCCCACTTTTCACATAGCAAGTCCATTAATTTTATTTTCTAAATGTTTCCTATAACCATCCCTTCCTTCCCATCTCCAGTGCCACTTCCCTCTTTCAAATCTAAATTTCTTAGCATGACCTACAAAGCCACTCATGATCTGGCCCCCTGCCAGCCTCTTGAGCTTCTGCCATTGTGGTACAACATGGTGGAGTCCTTTTGACTTTTGCCCTGGCCAGACTGGCTGACTTGAGCTTCCTCCAACATACCATGTTCTAAAACTCAGCCATAGTTTTACACACATTCCCATTCCCCAGATGCCCTCCCCACTGTTCCATCTGGCATTCCCTTGCTCATCCTACAAGACACGTTAAGAGTTAACTCTTCAATGGAGCCTTCCCTGAATACTCCAGACAGATTTCCTTCTACTCCTTTTGCACACTGGACATGTTTCCATTATAGCACTTTCCAGGTCCTATTATTATTAACATTGTTTATTTTCATGTCTTTCTCTTGTGTTCTCTTTGAGATCAAGATTATTAATCTCTCCATCCCCACACCTAGCATAGTACATGGCATATAGTGAATGCTTAATCAATACAATGAGTGAATGAATGCAGCATTTCCAGTTTGCAAAACCTGCATTAGCCAAGAAATGAGACACTCTGTACTTAAACTAGCACAATATACATACCAGAAACTTCATAAACTTTAAGGCCTTCTGACCTTATCAAGGTGGAGCTTTTTGGGTGAAAGCTGGATCTACAGTTTTTTGGATAGGGATATTTTTTGCTTATTTTGGCATTTATCAATTATCTTAGCTTCAGAAAGAAATAAAAAGTCAATTTAAGTCACGTCATTTTAAATGGACATATATCTAGTGAAGGTTGTTTGAATCTCCTAAACACAAAGTTCTTAACCAAACCTAAGAAAACTTAAATAAAGGAACAAATCTCATTTAAAAACTAATACATACATGGAAGTTTGAATATGTTATTAGATATTCTGCGTTGGGTTTTTGATTGTTTGCTTGTCTGTTTTTTAGATTTATTTGTGAGGAAACAGTGGAAGAGAAGATCTTGCAGCTCCAAGAAAAAAAGAAAGATTTGGCCAAGCAGGTTCTATCAGGATCTGGAAAATCTGTCACCAAGCTCACCTTGGCTGACCTCAAAGTCCTTTTTGGCATCTAACTTCCTGTTTATAGGGCTCAGAATACTGCCATTGTTGGTTTGTGTTAGGATCTGGTGATAACAACCTAGCCATAGTCCTTTGCTCTCTCCTTGGCATTCCATTTCACCATCGGGCCTTATGCCCTCCTCAGAATGAGACATAATCTTGTCCCGAGAATTGAGGATCAGTTATCATGTTAACCAGTTGGTTAAGCAATCATGTTAATCAACTTATTTAATGTGTGACATAGAAACCAAAAATTACTTCAGATAAAAGAAAATGCAAAATTTATATAATGTTATAAACCAGTGTTACCTCAAGAAAAAAAAAAAGAAAATGGTTTAGAGTTAGATAATTTTGGAAAATAGTTCTGGGAGAGTTGTACATAAGCTTCAGTAAAAGCTCAAAAAGCCCTCTGTTGCTTTCTCTTCTCAGCTAATGGGGGACCCAGTGTTGTTACCTTTTCTAATACAGGCCCCATCCCGTCTCTTCGTTTCTCCTGCCAATGAGGCTGCTCCTATAACCATCTCTTTATGGGCCGAGCAGAGAGTGGACCCTTATGGCCATTCCTCTGCCGTTGTCTCAGTCCAGGCAGTTCTTCCTCTCAGGGTAAGATCAAGGAGGTGCTTGGTACATAAACAGATGTTTATTTAGTAGTTGTATCATTGTATCATTCAGTATTTTGTATCGCATCATTTAGTGTTATTATATCATTTAGTATTGCTATCATATTATATAGTATTTGTATCATGTAATTTAATATCTGTATTATTTTTACGGTATTTGTATTTTTACAAAATTACAGTATTTGTAGCATTTAGTATCATTGTTTTCTTTAGTACTGTTGTTATCATTTAGTATTTGTATTATCATTGGTATAGTCCAATAAATACGTGTTTGACAATGTAGCAGAGGTAATGCTCTGTGTTCACTAAGCCGCATTTCCTTTTCCTCCTGGGCACCCAGAGAGACTACATTTCCATCTTCACTGCAGTTACGTGGGTCCGTATTACTGAGTTCTAGTCAATGGAGTGAGGAGAGAAGTGATGTAAGTCATTTCTTATCTGCCTTCTAAAACTTTGTGAATGATTCTTCGTGCTGTTTTTTCCCTCATCAGCCCACTAGATGCAAAGGAACTGATGGAAGACTACAAGGCCCGAGAGAATTGTGAAGCCACTAGATCAGGGATTCTTAACCTCTTTTTTGGCGATGGATACTTTTGGTAGACTAGTAAGCCTCAGTTCCTGAATGACTGTGGAGCAAAGCCTTCCCCGTATGTACCTCCCTTCCCACCCCAGCTCGCCCACATTGGACGATGACATGATCAGGAAATAATTTCTTTTTAAGCCACTGAGATTTTGGGGTTATGTAGCAGTTAGTACCCTGACTAATACATACTCTTGAGACTTTTATACTTTGGGAAACGATTCAGATTTCCTTCTTCCCATTAGCAGCAATTTCTAAAACACTTATTCTGCTAATTTCCACTAGAAAGAATTGTAGTTCTTCCTAGATAGAATTATTGCCCTTCTTTGAGTTGGGATTAGGAAATGAAAGACTAGTTAACCCAGTCACAGTATGGACTGAGGCACTGGAGCCTGTTTAACCAAAGGTGCCCCTAAGAACAAGGTCTAAAGGCCTACAAAGGTAAACACAGTATGGCCTGATGGGGAGAGTTCTGGTGTAGAACTTAGACTTAACTAGTTCCAGGTTCACCTTAGCTGGGAATGTAACCTTGAAAAAAGTCATTAACTTCTCTATACCTTGGTTTCCACATGTATAAGGTGGGCATTGTTTTCAGAACTCAGCAGCTACCGTGAGCTCCCTGATAAAATCAGGAACTCAAGGATGTAAGATTACCCCTCGGGAGTTATGTTATAAGATCAATACACAAGGGCAAAGATAGTGTCACCTGAGAAGCAGTGGCTCCCAGGCCAGCAAGAATGTACAAACCCTGCCTCTGCCATTTGCTGATTGTCTGATATTAGGCTAGTTACAGATTCCCTGGGCATCTCAGTTCTTCTGTAAGATGTGTGGATTAGATATACCTCATGCTCTACTGGGAATTTAGTAGCAAATTTACATACTGTAACCTGTTTGACTAGACAGATTGATCACGTCAGTCAGAAGGTGCGGTAGATGCACGGCGTCAGTGTCTGTTCCGAGCACTGTTTAGGAAAAAGGCAGTGTTAACTTTAAGTTCAAGTATTCTTGCTTTTGGTTTGGAGATGTATGCAGGGATTATAACCTACAATCATCGATATTTGGAGCCCCTTGGCAAATGTAATCTACAGTACGATTCCTTCCAGTGTCTTAAACAGTTTCTCTAGTGTTCATTGTTCTGATTCTAAGCTAGCAGAGCCACCTAATTATGTCTTGGATAGGTGACATTATCTAACACTATAACAGTGAGACACTGTGGATGTGAGGTGGAGGCAGAAGTTGGAACCACTCTCCTAATGGGATGGAATATACCAAACCTGCATCCTTAAATCCTAGCCCTGGGGTAGAGATTTCTCATAAATTAATAAGGTAGCATTCTGGTGTCCATCTCAGGCTCATGTTCATTTTCGTTCTGTGAGTCAGTTTCTTAAGGTCTGGGCATGACAGGGTGGGTCTTTGCAGTCTCTAGCAATGGGCACCATCCCACCATGAAGTGATCTAATTGAGGTCCTGCCCCATGAATTCTGCCAGTGTCAGCCAGCCTTTATGTGACACCATAACTGCCAGGTTTTCCTTTTACATCTGCCTGCCTACTTCTCCAGACTTGGGCAAGGATGAAATGAGGTAATAAATGCTTTATAAACCATGAAGTGCCGTACAAATGCTAGTGTTATTGCTGTGAGAGCAGGTCTTGGAATATGAGAATAAAACAGCAGCATAGTGCAGCTGAAAGAACCAGATGGTGAACATCTGTCACCAAAGCACAACATTGCTAAGCACCCAGTTTATAAGGTATTTCTTATGTGACAGAATTGCCTTCATGGAAGGTTTATAGTTTGACTTCTCTTTAGCAGTGTTGATCAAAAAAGGGCATTGGGCATGCCATGGCTGAATGGAATCCTGGGCCCTTTAGAAACCCTGCCAAGGACTCCTGTTGCCATGTGCTTATTATGAAAAGCAGTAGGTAGAATGATATCTTTGTGGGACATGACCCCTTTCTCTAGCAATCATTTGTGGTTTAGAATGGCTATATGTGAACAGTGGGTTGTTTCCTCTCTCTGATTGTCTCTGTTGCCCAATGAAGTGGCTTTCAGCATGGCTCAAAGGTGAAGCCAGATTCTCCTGCACTAATAGGTAATCATGGAGACACCAGTGCTCAGTGTGGCCTCGCTGGTTATCCAAAATCTTGATGTCTACCATAACACCTTGAGAGAATTGGGTTTACAAAGTGGGATGTTGTACTGCTATCTGCTATGTAGAATTTAGCCCTAGGAAAAGAGAGAAAGAATTAAAAGGCATACCTGCAAGTGTAAAGAGAATTATAATAGGAATTTAGAATTCCTATGCGTATAACCTATATTAAAGTGTTTTCACAAATAAAAATGAAATTAGGGTCAGTTACAGTACAAAGTACCACAGGAGTCAGTAGCTAAGGGATGGAGATAGAAATGAAAGAACATGGGGCTGGCCTGGTGGTGCAGTGGTTAAGTGCGTGTGCTCTGCTTCAGTGGCCCGGGGTTCGCAGGTTCAGATCCCGGCCCGCACTGACACACCACTTACCAAGCCCATGCTGTGGCGGCATTCCAGATAAAGTAGAGGAAGATGGGCATAGATGTTAGCCCAGGGCCAATCTTCCTCAGCAAAAAAGAGGAAGATTTGCATTGGATGTTAGCTCAGGGCTAGTCTTCTTCACATACACACACACACACACACACACACACACAAAAAGAAATGAAAGAACGGCCTAACGCCTAGGGAGGGAACAGGGGAGACAGACGTGCAGCTATGCAATGCCTTCACTAGCCTGAGTGCTTTTTACCCAGAATCCCTAGTTGGTAGAGATTATATATAAAGGAAGGACGGGGAGAATACCTTTACTGCTTATTTATTTATTTTTTAGTGCCATCTAGTCAATTCCGACTCCTAGTGACCCTGTGTACAGCAGAGCAGAACCCTGCTGGTCTTTTTGCACCATCCTCTCACCTTCTGGCGCCACATCACACAATGCTCCGCTGCTATTCATAGGGTTTTCATGGCCAGTTTTTTCAGAAGTAGGTGGCCAGGTCCTCCTTCCTAGTCTGTCTTAGTCTGGAAGCTCTGCTGAAACCTGTCCACCATGGGTGACCCTGCTGGTATTTGAAATACTGGTGGCATAGCTTTCAGCATCACAGCAACACGCAGCCATGACAGTATGACAACCAATAGACAGGTAGTGTGGTGTCCTGACCCATAAAGGAACCCCAGCTATGGAGGTGAGAGTACCAATTCTTAACCACTAGACCAGCAGGGCTGGCTAATTATTCATACATTAATTCAAAAATATAAAACGTGCCAGGGACTGCTGGGCACTGAAAATATAAGAGTAAGCAAAACCAAAAACAATCCCTGTCCTCCTGAGGCTTACAGTCTATAGTGGAGACAGGCATTAATCGAATCATCACGTGTGGCTGTGAAGTGGCAAAGGTGATGTGTGCTGCAACGGGGAGGTGTGTGTGGCTGGGACGGCTTAAAACAGGGATTTGACCTAGTGAGGGAAGACTGTGCGGAAGTGATGAAGGAATTGAAATCACTCTGTAGAAGCTAACAAGGCAAAGAGTGAAATGCTTCTTCCTATATTCTGCTTTTAATTGGCATTCACTTCACCCAACAACTACCTCTTAATTGAGACAAACCTAACACATGGGTGTACATCCTCTGGAATAAAGCTAACTCTTGCATTTTAGAGATTAGAAAATGGCTGGGCTGACAGGTATATGTGTATGTTTTTTATGCAAGACAGCCAAGGTGTTTATCCTGTTACATCCCAGAGGACAGAGGCTGTAATTTGTGGCTCTTTTTTACCTGTAACCCCAGAGGTATAACTTACATCATAATGCTGCATCTTGTTGATGCTTCAGTGCTCACAACTTAAAGGTGATTTCTGAAGCTCTTTGTTACACTGCGGACGATTCCTAAATCCTGAAGCTTCTTTTTTTCCTCACCTTAGAGTCTTAGGCTCTGCACGTCACTCCTACTTTGCCAGGTCTTTCAGCTGACAGAGCACTGGAATTAAATGGAGTTTAGACCCCACTGTAGCACAGGCCAAGGAGCAGCCCCCCCTTCGCAAACTTTCTTAATATTTGTAATGGAATTGTTACCATTAATATTGCTTATGGGCTAGGGCATTTGCCAGAACCTAGATGTCTTAGAAGTTTTCTGTTGCAACATAACTTCAACCACAGTAGAGTTATCCAATTACTGATATGTTTTTCCAACTGAAATAAATGATAAGCTTTTTATCCTCAGTTCTGAAATCTGATTCATGAAAAGACACATGGGGAAAAAAATGATATAATACAACAAGCTTCTTCATGGCAAGCAATTCCCTAGAT